TTTCTCAGGTTTTTTTTCCATTTTCTTAGCATGTCCTTCTCGTCTTTGACTGTCTTCTTGCCCAGTACTGCTCCACCGGGCGAAGTTCCGGACAGTTTGGCGGATTCATGTCCTTTGGAACAAAATGGACAGAATTGGCCTCATACCACTCCAGGACACTTTTAGAATAGTGACATGATGCCAAATCTGGCCAAAATGGTCGTGCTGCTGCAAGAACGGCAAAAGGCGCTTCTCGAGGCACTCAGATTTGTAGATCTCGCCATTTACTGTGCCCTTTGTCACGAAAGGCTCACTCCTCAGTCCGCAAGAGCAGATGGCCTGCCAAATGAGATGTTTGGAGGCGAACTTCGACATTTTCTTCTTCTTAAATTTGTCGTCCACATCGAACTTGCTCTTGCCGGTGAAAAACTCCAACCCCGGAATTTGCTTAAAATCGGCTTTTATATACGTTTCGTCGTCCATCACACAGCAGCCATATTTTGTCAGCATCTTCTCGTAGAGCTTCCGTGCCCGAGTTTTAGCCGTCGATTGTTGCCGCTCATCGCGGTTTGGGAAGTTCTGTACCTTGTATGTATGTAGTCCAGCTCTCTTCTTTGCATTCTGGACGTAGCTCTGCGACATGCCGATCTTTTTAGCCAAATCACGGCTTGAGACGTTGGGATTTACTTAATCATCCGCTTCACCTTTCCCTCCGTCTTTTTGTTCTCCGGTCCCGGTTTTCTTCCAGCTCCTTTGCCGTGGTCCAACGTCAACCGCTCCTGGAACCGCTTCAACACTCTGGAGACGGTTGAATGGTGAATGTTCAACATTTTTCCCAACTGCCGGTGCGACAGGTCAGGAAATTCCAGGTGTTTGGAAAGAATTTGTTCTCTCAACTCGCGTTGGTTCACCTCCATTTTCGTTGAATCGAAAAACACGACTTCGAGTTTGACAGCATGTACACAATGCACATCAATGAGAAAGTGTGCAAAATTTGGTTGATTTTTACCCAATGGTAAAAAAGTTATGCCCTGTTGAATGTGTCGCAATAATTTCGTGATCGCCCTTTATTCCATCAGACCTGGACTGGAGTACGATTGCCTTAGCGCAATAGCATAAGAGTCCAATATCAAGCACATCCCCGTCACCAGATCGGGTTATTTTGCAGATGCATCGCTGGCACTATCCTTCTGTAGAACGAACTCGTATCAAGGGTCCTCAGTGCGATGGGTTGCCTACCGATCGGTCAACTGTAAGGCCTTGGTCATTACTGAAACAAAATGTTGAGTCTTTATTAAAAACTGGCTCGAGGATGTTGCTCCTAGAATCCGGAAGAATTTGATATGCAGCAGGTAACAATTTGCTACGCCTTCATTTCTGTACATCTGCAAGGAATCAGCACCGATCCGGAATCTGGTGGACGGGTTCAATTTGCTTGAACACTGTACAGGTTTTATGGCTTTTACTTCCTCTTGCACTTCCCGAAGGGAAGCTGATTGCAGAGAAATTGAGAATGTAAACACAATCACAAGAGTCGTAGCCAAACTCATGGATTATTGACACCTTGATAGGCACACTTTGATTGACCCTTCATTGACATGTTCGGCACAGCGTTTAGCACAACTTTCGGCACAGCTCAATCACTCGGTACCGATTTAGGTGTGCAGAGTTGAATAGCCCGTGTAAAATGAATAAAATGAATAAAATGAATAAAATGAATAAAATGAATAAAATGAATAAAATGAATAAAATGAATAAAATGAATAAAATGAATAAAATGAATAAAATGAATAAAATGAATAAAATGAATAAAATGAATAAAATTAATAAAATTAATAAAATTAATAAAATGAATGAAATGAATAAAATGAATAAAATTAATAAAATTAATAAAATGCATAAAATTAATAAAATTAATAAAATGAATAAAATGAATAAAATGAATAAAATAAATAAAATGAATAAAATGAATAAAATGAATAAAATGAATAAAATGAATAAAATGAATAAAATTAATAAAATGAATAAAATGAATAAAATGAATAAAATGAATAAAATGAATAAAACGAATAAAATGAATAAAATGAATAAATTGAATAAAATGAATAAAATTAATAAAATGAATAAAACGAATAAAATGAATAAAATGAATAAATTGAATAAAATGAATAAAATTAATAAAATTAATTATATTAGTTAAATTAATTAAATGAATAAAATGAATAAAATGAATAAAATTAATTAAATTAATTAAATGAATAAAATGAATAAAATGAATCAAATGAATAAAATGAACAAAATGAATAAAATGCATAAAAAGAATAAAATGAATTAAATGAATAAAATTAATAAAATGAAGTAAACGAATAAAATGAATAAAATTAATAAAATTAATAAAATGCATAAAATTAATAAAATGAATAAAATGAATAAAATGAATAAAATGAATAAAATGAATAAAATGAATAAAATGAATAAAATGAATAAAATGAATAAAATGAATAAAATGAATAAAATGAATAAAATGAATAAAATGAATAAAATGAATAAAATGAATAAAATGAATAAAATGAATAAAATGAATAAAATGAATAAAATGAATAAAATTAATAAAATGAATAAAATGAATAAAATGAATAAAATGAATAAAATGAATAAAACGAATAAAATGAATAAAATGAATAAATTGAATAAAATGAATAAAATTAATAAAATTAATTAAATTAGTTAAATTAATTAAATGAATAAAATGAATAAAATTAATTAAATTAATTAAATGAATAAAATGAATAAAATGAATCAAATGAATAAAATGAACAAAATGAATAAAATGCATAAAAAGAATAAAATGAATTAAATGAATAAAATTAATAAAATGAAGTAAACGAATAAAATGAATAAAATAAATAAAATGAATGAAATGAATAAAATGAATAAAATTAATAAAATGAATAAAATTAATAAAATGAATAAAATGAATAAAATGAATAAAATGAATAAAATTAATAAAATTAATTAAATTAATTAAATGAATAAAATTAATAAAATGAATAAAATGAATAAAATGAATAAAATGAATAAAATGAATAAAACGAATAAAATGAATAAAATGAATAAACTGAATAAAATGAATAAAATTAATAAAATTAATTAAATGAATAAAATGAATAAAATTAACAAAATTAATTAAATTAATTAAATGAATAAACTGAATAAAATGAATAAAATGAATCAAATGAATAAAATGAACAAAATGAATAAAATGCATAAAAAGAATAAAATGAATTAAATGAATAAAATTAATAAAATGAAGTAAACGAATAAAATGAATAAAATAAATAAAATGAATGAAATGAATAAAATGAATAAAATTAATAAAATGAATAAAATGAATAAAATGAATAAAATGAATAAAATGAATAAAATGAATAAAATGAATAAAATGAATAAAATTAATAAAATGAATTAAATGAATAAAATGAATAAAATGAATAAAATGAATAAAATGAATAAAATGAATAAAATGAATAAAATGAATAAAATGAATAAAATGAATAAAATGAATAAAATGAATAAAATGAATAAAATGAATAAAATGAATAAAATGAATAAAATGAAAAAAATTAATAAAATTACTAAAATTACTAAAATTAATAAAATGAACTAAATGAATAAAACGAATAAAATGAATAAAATGAATAAAATTAATAAAATGAATAAAATGAATAAAATGAATAAAATGAATAAAATGAATAAAATGAATAAAATGAATAAAATGAATAAAATGAATAAAATTAATAAAATTAAAAAAATGAATAAAATGAATAAAATGAATAAAATGAATAAAATGAATAAAATTAATAAAATTAAAAAAATGAATAAAATGAATAAAATGAATAAAATGAATAAAATGAATAAAATGAATAAAATGAATAAAATGAATAAAATGAATAAAATGAATAAAATGAATAAAATGAATAAAATGAATCAAATGAATAAAATGAATAAAATGAATAAAATGAATAAAATGAATAAAATGAATAAAATGAATAAAATGAATAAAATGAATAAAATGAATAAAATGAATAAAATGAATAAAATGAATAAAATTAATAAAATGAATAAAATGAATAAAACGAATAAAATGAATAAAATGAATAAAATGAATAAAATGAATAAAATGAATAAAATGAATAAAATGAATAAAATGAATAAAATGAATAAAATGAATAAAATGAATAAAATGAATAAAATGAATAAAATGAATAAAATGAATAAAATGAATAAAATGAATAAAATGAATAAAATGAATAAAATGAATAAAATGAATAAAATCAATAAAATGAATAAAATGAATAAATTGAATAAAATTAATAAAATTAATAAAATTAATAGAAGATTAATCTCAGTAAATTCAAATTAATATTTTTCTTAAATCTGAAAAATATTATAACGATTTGACCATATCTTAATTGAAATGAGAGAGGGACAGCGATAGAGGCATGATCACTTTCCACTGCAATACGTAATTATTGAATATCAAATGCGCTGATCCACCCTCGCCTGACTTTGCATCATTTGACGCGGCAAATTCCAGCACTTGTATGATTGCAAAACAAAACAAATCAGTCCCCCGCAATGTGAAACCGGTTTTCGACTTAAGCTTACTTACTCAACGACGGACGCTACGCGATGATGCTGCAACAAACAAATATTCATCTAACGCACGAATTTTAGGCGTGCGCAGGCGGTGGCGGAAAGAAAGAACGACATTCAACGAACTTTTTTTCGCCTCCCCCATTTCTCCCAGCACTCGAAGCACGCGGAACCAATTTCTTCAGGTGACCGACCCCACGGTTTCGTCCACCTTCGGGCTGAGATGAGATGAGATCTCGCCTGCGGCGCTGGAGGTGCTAACTGGTGCACGTTCGGCCAAATCGGACCATCTTTTAGTCGTCTGTGCGGATTCGGCCCGGTTAGAGGTTTCTTTCTTTGCAAGAGTCTTTCACTTCAACCCTAGGAGCGTCGTGATCGTGATTTTTTCGAGCCAGGATGCTAATTAAGATGGTACCGTTGGTTTTGGGGCTGCTGTTAGCTGCCTCTATCGCCGTCGTCGCTGAGGGCGATGGGCCGGATTTCAGCTTCGGTGATGTTGACTTTTCCGTGGAGTACTTCAAAGCGGCTTACAATGCATCGAGCAATTGTGTGGTTTCGCCATTATCGGTGAGGTTGGCTCTAGCGGCCTTTTATCAGGTGGCCGGTGCTGACGTTGAGGAAACGCTGCAACGGGCTTTCTATTTACCGTTGGAGAAATCGGTTGCCAGCAATAATGCGGCTGGATTTCTGGACGAGGTCGCCAGCAATCAGCAGCTGCAGGTTGCTTTCAAAACGCTGAAAAATCAAGATCCTTTGTCGGATGAGTTTGCGAGTACGTTGCAGAAAGTGTTCAAGACTACGGCGGAGACTGTGAAATTTGAAAATAAGGCGTCGGTAGTGAGCACCGTAAATCGATGGGCCAATGAAGTTACCAATGGACGAATCCAGAACTTTCTGAATGACAAGGACTTGGACAGTACCACTGAACTGATCTTGCTGAATGCAGTCGCGCTGAAGGCCTCGTGGGCAGAGAAGTTTTCCACTTCGAAAACAGATCGTCAAACGTTTGCTTTCCTCGAAGGTCCTCGTCAAGTTGACATGATGCACGAAACACTGGAGGTCCTGTACAAGATCGATAATGCATACCATACGATTCAAATTCCCTACAGTGAAGACAGTGACCTCTCGATGTGGATTCTAGTTCCGCGAGGTCCTTCGGGAAGCTTCGAAGGCCTGATGAGTTCGCTGTCTTCGGACCTGCTGGATGACATCGAAACGACCGCAATGCCAAAGGTCGTGGATGTTTCCTTACCCCGGTTCCAAATTCAAACCAACCAGGAAGCCAAGCACATCATCGAACGCATGGGCTACGGTGAGCTCTTCACGCAGAACGATTTCAATGTCTTCAAAGGGCGTAAATCACGACTGAGCGATCTTCGGCAGAGCACGTTTCTGACGGTGGACGAAGAAGGCACCGAAGCTGCTGCAGTTTCATGTAAGTTATTTAAATAGCTTTCTCCTTAGGCGGAAAAGTGTTAATTTGTTACGTTTGTCGTCATAACAGCTGTCGCGACGAAATTCCGCTCGAAGAACATCCAGTTCAACGTTAATCAACCGTTTGTTTTCATCATCAAGAAGATCTCGACCGATACGACTGTTTTCATCGGGCACTACTCCAACTATCAGTAAGTTAATTAACTGTAATTGAACGAAATAAAAGACGAATTTTATTTTGAAAAAAAGACCGAGGCTGGCTTTTTTCATCCTCTCAAGTAGACCGAAAGAAAAGTCTGTTTTAGGTTGAACGGTTTTTCGAGTCATTACCAGACGTTGCCACACATGTTTGCGGCTAATCGTTTATGAAACATTGAGAGCGATAAGCAGGCGGTTGGAAAACATGTATGCCCTCACCACTTGAAGTGAAAATTGATTTTGTCACACTGACAGTTCTGTTGAACACGTGTTGTCGTTGTTGTCGTAAAACGTGGTGGTAGGTTTTTTTTCTCGTTTTTGTACAATCATATATGAATTTAGAATTACAGATAAAGAATACTTCAAAGTCAAATAAATATGTTGAGAAACAAAAAAACAGTCCGAACTTGAATTACAACAGTTGCCATCGCCCGTCCGAAATCCCCTCGTATTTTGTCATCAATTAAGCAGCAGAAAAAAAAACTTACCATAACTAACGTCAAATGCAAACCAATCCCGGATTCTAATAATAATTCGGTGACGGCTGCGCTTCTGTACGTCCATGCATGCCAACCACCACTGGTGAGCCAGCCGGAACAGCTGATAGCAATCCCGTGAGAATCGAAACGAAACGGTCGCGATTTTCATTAACTTCGGGAAAAGACAGCCGGCTGCCACTGCGGAACCACAGCCCTTCGAATAACTTCAAGGTGTAACTGCGCGCTATTAGGAAGGGGATTTAATTCGTTCATCTGCCACTGACTCTCTGCTACTGCTGCTGCTGCTGCTTTTCTGTGCAACACTCACTACTCGCACTCTACTCGGGGAAATAAGTTGCAGTTGCTGGCATCACAGTAGGCTCATTTGGCAGGAGCGAGCAGCAGGCTGGCAGTCTGTCAGTTTAGCCGAGCCAACCAAGCAAGCGTTGATCAAATTGATATAGCATCTGATGCCGACAAATTCGTTTCTATGTTCGCTCCGTTTTTTCGCCTATACTTTTATCAACAACCAGCAACGGTCGGTGAGTATATTGCAACTGCTATGCGTCTGTTCATATCATCAGCTGCATCATGTGCAGCCGGACAAAATATGTTTGGCTCACGCGCGCGTCAGGATAGTATAGGTGGCATTGCATACCTACTGTTGATCGAACGGAATTGATATATGTAGGCCAAAGGCATCTGCTCTCGTTTTCAGTTGTTCGAATGCTCGCTGGACGCAACCTGCTTCAAAGGATGTGCAGATGCAATTAGAAGCCTGGTTAATGTTATCGAAGCAAACCGTGCGTCGTTAGGCGAGAAAAGGCCAATTGACGCACCTTTCGCTGCGTTTGGATAGTGACAGATGACTTGTATTGCAGTCATATTTACGGAAAGTCAGGTGAACTGGGTTTTCTACATAAACTGGTAAATGTACAAACAGCTAACTCTCCACAACTTAATATTGAAGGGACCACCGATAGATTTCTCAGGTTCTGGAACAAACATGAATCCACAGAAAATCTGTTGACCTACATAGTGGCTTTGATTTTTTTTCTAAAACTATACTGAGCGATAGATTTGAGAAGAGGTTTCACTACAATGCTTAAATTTTCCTCAAGCCTAGTATGCAGATTAAAGCGAAGTAAAATTTGAGGCAAGTGAAAAATCATGAAATTTCGCCAGCCAAAAAAAATTTGTGAAATAATTTCCCCTTTTCGCAGTTCACAGCCTTTACTAGTGGAATTCAGCTGATCAGTTTAGCGACAAGGATAATTGATTTTAAGAATGAACACACAAAATATGATCTTCTTTGGTATGATGGTGACTCGATTTAAATCACCCCTGTCAGCTAATTGAGCAAAAGGTAACACGGTGTATAAAGGGTGATACGGTCAAAATTTGGTCAATATCAACTTGACGTATTTCTTTCAATTTTGCATTTAAAAAACCTGAACACCCCTCATTTTGAAGGTGTGTGTGTGTAGAATGTTGCTCCTATTTTGATTTTGGAATTCACTCTTCAGTTGTCAAAATGCCGTCCAAGCAAGAAGAGCAGCGTATCAAAATTTTGCTCGCGCATCCCGAAAATCCGAGCTACTCTCACGCAAAGTTGGCAAAATCGCTAAAAGTTGCCAAATCAACCGTTACAAATGTAATTAAAGTGTTTGGGGAACGTTTGTCGACAGCCAGGAAGTCTGGATCGGGGGGAAATCGAAAACCGGAAGCCGCTGAGACGACAAAGAGAGTTGCCGGTAGTTTCAAGCGAAACCCTAACCTCTCTTTCCTAGATGCCGCAAATAAGCTGGGTGTATCGTCTACAACCGTGCATCGAGCCAAAAAACGAGCCGGACTATCGACTTACAAGAAGGTAGTGACTCCAAATCGCGATGATAAACAAAATACGACGGCCAAAGCGCGATCCCGGAGGCTGTACACGACAAGCACATGAAACTGTCAAAGTTCGCAAAGAAATATCTGGTTTGGCAAGCCATCTGTACCTGTGGCTTGAAAAACAGCATTGTCATAGCTTCCGGGACTGTCAACCAAGAAATTTACGTAAAAGAGTGTTTGAATAAACGTCTGCTGCCTTTCCTGAAGAAACACGGTTGTTCCGTACTGTTTTGGCCGGATTTGGCATCTTGCCATTACGGTAAAAAGGCCATGGAGTGGTACGCCGCCAACAACGTGCAGGTGGTTCCCAAGGGCAAGAACCCTCCCAACACGCCAGAGCTCTGCCCAATTGAGAAATACTGGGCTATTTTCAAGCGGAACCTAAAGAAGACCAAAAAAACTGCTAAGGGCGAGCAGCAGTTCAAGGCAAACTGGCTTTCTGCGGCGAAGAAGGTGGACAAGGTGGCTGTACAAAATCTGATGGCAGGGGTCAAGCGTAAGGCCCGGCAATTCGGATTTGGAAAAGCGGAAGCCTAACTGAATATTTTTCCTGAATTTTATACTAATTGAACTTGAAAAAGAAATTTAATTTGATTTTTTAAATAAACGATTTCACCGATTTACACGCGTTTTCCCTTGACCAAATTTTGACCGTATCACCCTTTAAAATCAACAAACGGTTTATAGGATGATATGAAGAGTCACTCTAAAAACTGGATAAGTACCGTAATCCGGGATGGGATTGATCAAAATGCCTTGCGTTTTCAGCTGTACCGTAGAAAATTTTCGGTAATATTATATCAAGAGAAATCTTGATAGTATTTTACCTAGCAACTCTAATGATTGTTTTGGAAGTGGAAATGTTTCCATTATCATGAAATTAAAGGTCTTTCGTGAAATTTTCAACGATTTCTTTTGAAATTTCCTACATTTAAGCGCAACTGAGTTTCTTAATAAATAAATTTTAACCTTGCTCTAAAAACACGACACACATCGGTTTTAGCACGTGAGTCGGATTCAGGGATCCCATATTTATACGATATGATAATATGATATGGAACTACCACTCACTGTAGCAAAACAACTATCGGTAGAGTCACATAGTAGACTGTTCGACTTGATCAAGTTTAATAACCTCAAATTGTACTCCACCTGTATGAAGCGCCTAAAACGGTTTGGGAGAATCCGTGGGTAATATCGTAAACGTGCATCCATGCGATAAATGAGAATCACACAGCAGCGTAAACCCCCTACGTCCACTAAATACACTCTAGCTGCTCCGACTAGAGAGATCTCAGCAGAGAAAAATAGGACTCCGACCACTTTCCATAACCAATTACTCGCGACACAAAGGCTTCAGGTCACCGTCTGGAAGACGCAGCACCAGCCTCTCTTCGGCCGAATCAACTCGTGACCAAAGCCGAAATCAGAACTGACAACTCCAGCGACCGAAAACAAACGCGTCTAAAAGCGCCACGGCACACTTCGATTGCATTTCTGAAACACAACCTCAACCTAGTCTAGGCACATTCATCGGCACAATCCCGTAGGCATTGGATTATTCATTAAATAAAATGGGAGCAGTATTGGACAGCTGCCATTGATGTTCTTCATAACATTACATGCTGTTTGACAGTTTATTTCAGGAACATTCACTAATTGAATATATCAAAGGAACTCAGACCAGCAATTCACTTCTCGGTTCACATTTAAATCCAAAATGTAGACTCTAGCGAGGGCTCTAGAGCAGGCGGCACACAGTTTGAAAAAGTATTGTAAATTTCTGTTCAATATGATGCACGTAATAGAGCGTCACAGATCATATTAGTTTACACTATAAATCGTGTCTCTGAAACATTTAATTAAATGTTACAAATATTGTATACAAAAGCCCATTTATTGTTTACAAGCTGTTCGTTAGCGTGAAATGAAATACAAGTTTCCGTAAATGAATGTTTACATCACAATTAAAATACATATTTTTTCTTCTATGTAGTTTTTTTTTAATCCTTGTCGGGTATTTTAATCACTGCGACCATTTTCTGACAAATTGTGATATGTTCCCCATTTTTTCAAGCTATATCAAAATGCCGTATCTCTATTATTAGGAGTGATCGCCATTGTTTGACTAATAGCAATATCCCAGCAAGGCTGTTCAAAATCATTAAGAAAATTAAATTCCATGAACTTCAATTCACCATAGAAACACGCATCGCACCCGTTGTGCGCACGAATAGCACAGACGGGTGAAAGTAGCAACGCACTTGAGCTGTCAAACCAACGCAACATAAAAATGTAAATAGTAGCATTGGATGCAGCGCTGCCAGATTGTTTTCATGATTATCGGTATCAAATGATTAAAAAATCGGTATTTATCGGTGTTCACAATTTTAATTAATTTTCAATTTTTTCAAACTTTTGGACTAAAATCAAAGGTTGTACTTTCCATGTAAGTCGGAAGAAATTTTTGGGATCTATTTGAATTAGTCTCTTAATGGTACCGAGGATGAATAAAGAAGTTCACGCGGAGGAAGTTTGAAGGAAGTTCTAAAAGATGTCGAAAAAACATCCGATGGGGATCTTCCAAGACAAATATTGAAAACTTCTGGTAATTTTTTTAGAACCTTTCGGAAAAAAATCCAGAAGCCAGAAAAGTTTGGAAATCGGAAGTCAATCCC